AATCTCCTGTCCAGAATTATGTTCCAAAGCCTTCATTGAGGATTCTAAAGTATGAAGTTTGTCCATTAGAGATAACATCTCATCTTTGGACATAATTTTTATGGCATAAACCGTGCCTTCTTGTATTGACAATCTTTCCGTCAATCTGTCATAAGCTTTAGACAAAATCCGATTGTCACATTCAGCAGTTTTGATTCTCTCAGTTAATGTTTCATTTCCTACAGAAAGGGACTGAATCTTATGGTCCAGATCAGCTGTTCCCTCTTCCATAGTAATGAATTTCTCCTTAACATCAGCCTGAAGAACTTCAACCTGATTCTTGAGAAGATTGTTATCAGCCTGGAGAACTTCAAACTGATTCTCGAAAAGATTGTTATCAGTCTGGAGAACTTCAACCTGATTCTTGAGAAGATTGTTATCAGTCTGGAGAACTTCAAACTGATTCTTGAGAAGATTGTTATCAGCCTGGAGAACTTCAAACTGATTTTTGAGAAGATTGTTGTCATTCTCAATTGTTTTTAAGCGTTCAATCTCTACCTTAAGAATCCTGGATTCATCTCGTAAAGACTTTATCATATTTCTATTATCAAACCATTTGGTGCCAATGAAAACTACGAATCCCAGAAGGATCCATATATGTGGGGTGATAGACACCTCTTGTAAAATCTCCCACATGGTACAATTAAAAAGATCATTAAATTCTTGAACAGTAATGTGTTCAGACATTTTATTTATAAAAGAAAATTTTTTTACCTGCAATGATCGGTTCCTGCCAGTGGTGGTCTCTGTGTTTTTGGAGCCTGTCCTAGAACTAGCTCTTGTAGACCAGGCTGGCCTTGAACTCACAGAGATCCGCCTGTCTCTGCCTCCCAAGTGCTGGGATTGAAGGCGTGCACTACCAAGGCCTGGCAGGGCTCAAACTCACAGAGATCTGCCTGCCTCTGCTTCCCAAGTGCTGGGATTAAAGGCGTGCTCTACCACTGCCTGGCCGGCCTCAAACTTGTGATCCTCCTGCCTCTGCCTCCTTCAGCAAATCCTACCGGTGTGGGCCACCACAACCGGCCAAGTCACTTTGTTTTTTTTTTGTTTGTTTGTTTGTTTGTTTTTTGGATTTTTCGAGACAGGGTTTCTCCGTAGCTTTTGGTTCCTGTCCTGGAACTAGCTCTTGTAGACCGCCAAGTCACTTTGTAACAGACCAAATCTGACACTGTGGCAGCTTTTGTTGCAAAACCGCAAGTACTTGAGCTTCTGCTAATTCAGGCAGTGGGGTTCCGCTGCAAAACTTAGCCAAGGCAGGCAGAATGGGCCTGTGTCGCCGAGTGTGTCTCGGACTCGGCACTGGGGCCGGAGTCACGAACTGAAAAACAGCACCCGGGAGGGTGCTGTGTTAGCTAGCGGGCTACCCGCTTGAGTCGGGGGCAAAATAGCCCGACGTTGGACGCCAAAATGTAGCGGCGTAAACGAATGCAGACAGAGTGTAAAAAAATATATATATAGCCTTAATGTAGAAATAGACTTACAGAACCACCGTTCAGGTGGAGACCAGGAAAGCAGAAGCGAGAGCTCGGAGCTTGCTCGCCAAATTTATAGGCAGACATTAGCCCGAGGCGAACACGCCCCTTAAGGGGCGGGACTTATCCCTACAATGCCACATGAAAGAATGGCATGTAATAATAATAACCAACAAAATTTATCATGTTCACCCAGTTTCAGGTGTTCCCATGTTGAGAGACCGGCATATGAGTCGCTGTTCTGTAGTCTTTCTTGGCTTTTTTCCTTTATGTCTATAGTCAAGATTTTCAAGTCTCCCTCAATCAAATCTGATATTCATTAATTCTGAAGGAATCCATAGCTTTTCATTTCCTGTGGAAACAAAAGTACTGCCTCTTCCCCAACACACACATTTCCTGACTTCCATTCTGAAGTTAAGGCAGTCCTTAAAATATAGAGTTTGATTTAATTTAGTAGTTTCCATAATCCAATGTCCCTTGGAAGCTATTGGTTTTGTTCATTAGCATTTAAAAATTCAAAGTTAAGAAAGCATCATACAGGATCCAGATATCCTATGTATCTCCCATCTTTATGTGGCTTATTCTTTTTAGATTACTCTCTCTTTAAAGACTTTATTATTTTTAAACTATTTTTTCTATGACTGTCTATACTCATTTTTTTTACGATACCTGTTTAGAAACTTTCTCAGTCTGGACCGCTTTATTGTGCACCTGCAGCCTCTTCTGACCATATGAACTGAACCTTAAACTCACCACATGGCTCTGCACATGGTGCTGGCTGGCTCAAGCCAGCAGGCAGCAGCTGGGAGCCACGTTCTATACACCACGATCTGCCTGAGAGACTACAGGACTAGGAAGCTGTGTTTGCTTCCATGTTTGTGTGTTTAAAACTTTTTTTTAAAGCTTTCTCAGGTTCTGTGTGGAAATATGTGTCCCCATGTTGGATGCCATATGTAGTTGGGTGTTCCTTTAGGCTGCCAGCTCAGGCATAATGACACAGAGACTCTTATTAATTATGAAAGCTCAGCCTATAGCTTAGGCTTCTTCCTAACTATCTCTAATAACTTAAATTAACTCATTTACATAAACCTATGTCGGACAATGAGGAATACTGAGAACTCAAGAACATTCGCAGTGGGTTTTTGATCCTACTGCACGTACTGGCTTTGGGGGAGCCTAGGCAGTTTGGATGCTCACCTTACGAGACCTGGATAGAGGTGGGCGGTCCTTGGGCTTCCCACAGGTCAGGGAACCCTGATTGCTCTTCGAGCAGATGTGGGAGGGGGACTTGATGGGGGGGAGGGGGAGGGAAATGGGAAGCGGTTGCGGGGAGGAGGCAGAAATCCTTAATAAATAAATAAATTAAAAAGTAAATAAATAAAAAAATAAACCTATGTCATATCACATGGTGTTAGATAGGAAAAGGAGAGGAACTTGGGATGAATCTAGGCATATGAGAGAGACGCCAAATGAAACACAGAGGTAGTCAGACATACAGAAGAAAAGAAAGGTAAAAAGCCATGAGGCATAACAGATTAATCTAATTAATAAGTATTTAATTAATAAGTACTAGTTAGGAAGAAGCCCAAGCTATAGGCTGAGCTTTCATAATTAATAAGAAGTCTCCATGTCATTATCTGGGAGCTGGCTGGAGCGTCAGAAAAGGACTTGTTACACCTCTCTTCCATCCTGCACCTCCTGTTTCCTTTCTGCATCTCCTGGTGTCTCCCCTGTACCTAGATTCCTCTTCCTTTCTCTCCCCAGAAATTCTGCCTATACTTCCTGCTTAGCTATTGGTCTGCCAGCTTTTTGTTTGTTTGGTTTTTCGAAACAGGGTTTCTCTGTAGCTTAGGAGCCTGTCCTGAAACTCACTGCGTAGACCAGGCTGGCCTTGAACTCACAGAGATCTGCCTGCCTCTGCCTCCCAAGTGCTGATATTAAAGGCATGTGCCACCACTGATAGGCTTAGTGCTTTTTTGGGACAGGGGAACGTTGTTCGGCTTTTTATTAAACGGGGCACAGCAAAATACACTTTCACACAGTGGACAAATATCCCATAACAGTTAAGTCCAGTGCAGGAGTTTGGGGGGATTTATAGGACAGGATAAGAAACTTTTTGTGGGGTAAAGTTTTATAGTCAAAGCCGAATAATGCTTTTCTTGTGAGGCAAGTGTTCCTATCTTTTTTTTGTTTGTTTGTTTGTTTTTTGTTTTGTTTTGTTTTTTAATTTATTTATTTATTAAGGATTTCTGCCTCCTCCCCGCAACCGCTTCCCATTTCCCTCCCCCGATCAAGTCCCCCTCGATCAAGTCCCCCTCCCTCATCTGCTCGAAGGGCAATCAGGGTTCCCTGACCTGTGGGAAACCCAAGGACCGCCCACCTCTATCCAGGTCTCGTAAGGTGAGCATCCAAACTGCCTAGGCTCCTATCTTTATGCTGAACTGCCATCCCTATACTCCACTTAACTCTGCATCTGCTGTCCACACTACCTAGTGCACAGGAGAGCTTCCAGACATCGTTGGGAACCCTCTCTCATCTGAGTCCTGTGATGGGAAATCCTGCCGTCGCAGGCCTCTTAGTTATGTTCTGGTTCAGAAAAATGACCAAGTAGGTTACTCCTTCCTAATGGGCTGTGCTGGGATACTAGTTAAACATCCTTGCCGGGGGCCAGCTGGAATCCGAACTTGCTTGCATCCAGAGAATTAAGTTCATACTGAGGATCCTCACGTATTCTGCTGAGTTCACACCACAGAAACAAGGTAAGAACGGGAAAAGCATTCCGCAGAGAACCAAAGCCGGGTGGTGGGAAGCAGGAAAGTCCCAAGGAAAGGTCTGGTGCTCTGGGATTAGGTTGCAGATCTGTGGAGTGCGTAGGGTCTTAGGTCTCCACAACCTCGCAGCCTGCCATTCCAGATGGATCTATTCTGCCAGATCTATTCTGGAGTGGGCAGGGTAGCTGTGGGATTCCACAGAGGTGACCCGCCAAGAGCACAGACCGTTACGGAGTAGGGTTGCTGGCCTGACCGCGAACCAGGGAGCTAGGACCAGCTAGTACAGCCTCCTTCCGGGAGTCTGTCGCCCTGTCCTCGGAGAGCGATCTGCTCCCTACCTAGCCTTCAACAAAGTCCCATGAGCCATTTACTACACCTAGAATAAGCTTAGTTGCAAGGAAGCAAGAAGTCGGTTCTTCTGCCGCCACTTCGCCGATAAACGAAACTCAGAGGCTCGGAGCTGCGAACATGCAAGACTGACTCTAGGAAGTCCTGAGCTTAGCGAGAAACCGCAAGCAGCTCGTCCTTCCAGGAGGAGCCTCGGTGAGCTCTCTCAGTCGGGGTAGGAAAGCCACCCGGATGCACGCTGGGAAGGCTAGTCGGGGAACTGGCCGCCCGTTGCACACTGGGATTGGTAGTCTGGGGCGGGCTCGCCCCTCACCTAGCCAGAGCGGGCGCCTCCGGGCCAATGGGAGCAGTGCCTGCCCGGCCAGCCCCGCCCCGCGCCTCCGGACGTCTTTGCCGGGACATGGCCGCTACCGGTGCCGGGTCCTTAAGCTGATTGCCGGCTGCCGGAGCTAACTGCTGCCGTCAACAGTCCACGCGGGCCGGTCCCAGGCGTCGGGACGGTGACGATCCGCCGAGGAAGCGGGGCTCGCCATAGGACGACGCCGCGGCGGGCGCATGGCGTCCATCTTGCTCAGGAGCTGCCGCGGCCGGGGCCCTGCCCGCCTCGCGCCTCCCCGCGCCGCCTCCCCGCGGGGTAAGTGGCCGCGGCACAGCAGAGACCTGTTGTGGGTGGTCAGGGTTCTGCGCGGGACACCCATCTACCCCATGCCCCGAAGCAGCGCGGCGATGACAAGCACCCGGCGGCTCTATGCCGCCGGGGCTGGGCAGCTTCACTGTGACCTTAGTTGCCCTGGTCGCCGCAGGTCACCGCTACCGACGGAGGCGTTGGGAAAGTTCCTTAGGGCTGTGGCTGCCCTGGCGCTCCCCTCGATGATGAACAGAGCCCAGGCGTGCCCTTTGGCCCGCTCAGGCCTGGAAGCCGGAACTCCGGGGAAGGGAGATTGGGTTTTGGGTGATGCCAGCACAGTGGGCCGCTCCCTGGGGTGGGGTGGCCGCTGACTGGAGTTTTTTAAGGAAACTTGGATGTAAGTTACTGTAAGGATAAAACTTGGTCTACGAGAGTGGAACCCAAGACTTTATAGTTTACTGATAAAAGCACAGTTCTCACCTTAATAGTTGGAGCAAGGCGTGGTGTGGAGCAAGGCGTGGTGACATATGCCCTTAATCCCAGCACTGTGGAGGCAGAGAGAGGCAGGTGAATCTCTGAGTTCCAGGCAAGCCTGGTCAACATTTCGAATTTTAGGCCAGGGTACACACAACAAAACAACAACAGCAACGAAGTCAGTTACGATCGGTAGAAAGACAGCAAAGTCTGGGTTTGGTGCGGTCTTTCAAGCTCCCTCTGCCCTAAGAGCTGTCCACCTGTTAACTTGTTCAAGTACTTCTGGCCTTTCTTATTTCTATAGCCTAATTATGGATTAAAAATTATCTGGTAGTTTTTGTGTATGTTCTTATTATTCTAGGCATAAGAATGTTTTCTGGGGGGGCTGGAGAGATGGCTCAGTGGTTAAGAGCACTGCCTGCTCTTCCAAAGGTCCTGAGTTCAATTCCCGGCAACCACATGGTGGCTCACAACCATCTGTAATGAGGTCTGGTGCCCTCTTCTGGCCTGCAGACATACACACAGACAGAATATTGTATGCATAATAAATAAATATTTAAAAAAAAAAAGAAAGAAAAAAAAAGAATGTTTTCTGTAGTTAACCAGTGCCCTTTGAACAGAAGTACTGCTTCCCTGATAGTGGGTTAGTCAGCTGGTTAGCTGCGGAACCAGTAGGGCAGGGCTGGGTAGTGGGTAGGGGACTCACTGGAATAATGTGCTGTCAGAGGCTGTAGGGATAGGATGAACATCCTAGTTTTTAATCACAGTGAATAAGTTGAGGGCAACATTGTGCCAAAATTCTCTTGACTCTGGAGTACCTACCTTGTTCTGCACTTTTGTGTGACATACTTCATTCTCTTTGTGTTTCTTTGTTTTCTTCCGAGACACATTCCATTAGTCCTTGTGGCTCTTGAAATTGTAACAATTTCTCCTATTTCCTTTGATTTTCTTGCCCTTGACAGTTTCGGTGAGTACTTAGGTCAGGTGTGTTGTAGGGTGTCTCTTTTGGTGTTTTGCTGAAGAGTTCTGGGGCGGAAGGCACAGATTTTCAGCGCTTTTCTCATACATGCTGCAGTTAAGGTAAACTCATCATGTTTGATGTTGACCTGGTTCCCCGGCCGAAGTGTGGCATTTCTTTCCTTCCCCTTCGCCTTGTTATGCTGTCCTCTGTGAAAGGAAGTCACTTGGTATGCAGAAGTGGGGCCGACAGATCTGGAGTGTGTGAGAAAGAAGCATCCAGTCCACACTGTCACTTTGTAAGCCTGTGAGGACTAGTCAAGGCTCAGGGAAACCAAAGAAGACTGGCTTCGGTGAGACGAAGTTCCTGCAGCTGTTGACAGCTGCAAGGTGCCCCAGACCTGGAAGCTTTGCATGAAGGTCAGGGAGGACATTGCCTGGAAGGATGTAAAAGTCTCTTGGAGACCAGGTGAAGCAGGGAAAGACATTTAGTCTTTATCCCTGTTCCTGACACTGAGTTCCTAAAGCTTTTGGAGTGATTAACAGCAATGGGTTTTACCCCACCGCCCAGACAGGGTCTCCCTGGGTACCCCTGGCTATCCTGGAACTCACTCTATAGACCAGGCTGGTGCCTCTCAAGTGCTGGGATTAAAGGTATGTGCCAGGGGCTGGAGAGATGGCTCAGTGGTTAAGAGCACTGACTGCTTTTCCAGAGGTCCTGAGTTCAAATCCCAGCAACGACATGGTGGCTCACAACCATCTATAATGAGATCTGGTACCCTCTTTTGGCCTGCAGTCATAGATGGAGGCAGAATACTGTATACATAATAAATAAATAAATCTTAAAAAAGGTGGTGCTGGAGAGATGGCTCAGAGGTTAACAGGTTATTATTTTATAATAAATAAAAAAATCTTAAAAAAAAAAGGTATGTGCCACCATACCCGACTGGGTTTGTTACTGAAGGAAAGTAGGGAATAGGCCTAGGTAGATGAGGGGAGATGAGGAGAGGCCTGTAGTGAGCTGTAGTGAGATTAGAGGGCTAGGACTTAACCCTAACATCCTAGGAGGCAGAGAATATATAGTGGTCAGTGGACCAGAGGAAAGAATGCTGCAGAAAGAACCTGGGTTGCTCAGGACTGTCCTGGGCATGTCCTTGTCTCCTCTGGCTATTCACTTGTATACTTTGTGGTAAACAGAGCACTGTGCTGGGTTCTGTGACTTGTTCTAGCAAATTATCAAAACCAAGAGGGTCTTAAGAGATGGCACAGCAGTTAAGAGCACTGATTGCTCCCAAGGACTTGGGTTCAATTCCCAACACCCACATAGCAGCTCACAGCTGTCTGTAACTCCAATATCTGGCAACCTTACACAGACATATATGCAGGCAAAACATCATTGCACATAAGATTTTTTTAAAAACCTTATTTTAGACTTTAGAAATTTATGTGTACTTGTGTGTCTGTATGGGTGCAGGTGGCTATGGAGACCGGAACTCATAGAACTAGAGTTACAGGCAGTTATGAGCCAGCCAGTGTGAATGTTGGCGACGAAACCCAAGTCCTCTGCAAGAGTAGCAAGTACTTTTAACTGCTGAGCTGTCTCTTTAGACCAAACCCCAAATTTACAGACAGCAGAAATATAGGCAGCCTGTGCAGCTTAGTGGAATATGGACCTGCAAAGCCTGTCACCCTGGGTGACTTTGACAGTGGAGCAGGAACAGCCCTCAGATGTTATTTGGGGGAGAACCCAGGAAGGGATCAGAGTAAAGTCCACCCATTCCATCTTCAGGGTTCTCTGGGGGTGTTTCTGAGCCAAATCCTGTAGAAGTAGGATTGGAAGGGGCAGAGAGGAAGTTCTGGGCCTCTTTGGATTAAGAAGAGTCTGGAAAAATTTGGGCGGCCCTCGTCTGGATTTAACATGTAACACTTTCAGTCACAGAAACTTAACATTAAAAAAAAAAGCCGTGTAACACTTGTTGCTTGTAAGAATGTAGCTGAGGGTCAGCTAGATGACTCAGGTTCTTGTTTTCTGACCTGAGTTCCAATCCCAGGACCCACATGGTAAAAGAAGAGAACCAAATCTTGCAAGTTGTCTTCTGACCTCTGAATGGGTGCACATACAATAAATAAATACAAAAATAAAATTTAAAAACAAACATGATTTTATAATAACAATGTAGCCATATCTTTGTTATGAATTGTGAATAGTGGTGAAGGGACCATAGTTTTCCAGGTTCTAGCAGACCCTAAATATGATCTCTTTCCGCACAGAGCCAGAAGATCTCCCTCCTGACATAAACTGGTAAATGGATGCTGTTACTGCTACTCCCACTGCTTGGAGGATTGGGCCAAGGTGACCTTGCTGGCCCTTGCTATTGCTTGACCTCTACATGGGCCACCTGGCCCCTGCTGAGAATGGTACCTCTGGTCCCCACTATGCAGAGAGCCTGTTCTCTCCATCCTTCCTGCTTCACACAATGATGTGAATGAACTCTCAGTGTGTCAGGAGACTTAGAGTGGATTAGGGAAAGTGTCCAAAGTGTGTTCTAGTGATCATCTCTACTGTTTTTCTATAAGTGGCTTCCTTTAGAAATTTTGCTTTGCTAGGCGTGATGACACATACTTTTTATCCCAGCACTTGGGAGGTAGAGGCAGGCATATCTCTTGAGTTTGAGGCCAGCCTGCTCTACAGGGTGTTTCAGGACAGCCAGGGCTACACAGAGAAACCCTGTCTCAAAAACCAAAAACAAGACAATAATAATAAGATAAATAAAAATTTTGCTTTAGTTACATTCATTGTGTGTATGCATGTATTCCTGGACTGCCATAGCATGCTTATGGAGGTCAGAAGACAACTTGTTGGGAGTTATTTCTCCTACCATGTAGGCACTGAGATTAAACTCAGGTCTTGAGGGCAAGTGGTTTTATCCACTAAACCATATTGCTAGCCTTATAGGGGCTTCTTGGTATTTTTTTCCCTAGTAGTTCTTGTCCCTTGGAATTGTTGTTTGGTCTGTAAGGTTGTCTGCTTGCTAGGATTCAGTGTGCCCTTCCCCCTGCCTACCTACACCAACAATAGTTAGCAGGGACGGGTCCCACAGTGGGAGAAGACCAGAAGACCACGGGCCTTCAGTGCCCCTTCCCTGGGACTTAGCCTCAGACCCAGTTTCCAACTAGGGAGATTAGATGCTCTGTTCCACTGTGCTTTGAAGCCCTTCATCATGTATAACAGTCCTCCAGAAACTTACTGGTAGGTTCCGTTCAGACCTTCAAAGATGCCTGGTTGACACCTGTTTGCTGACTTTTCTTTGTTTTTGTCATAGGTAGTCGGAGGGATCGAGCTTGTCTCAGTTGTACCAGCACCGTGGGGTTGATAAGCCATGAGTAAGTAAGCCCATCACTGAATGTGTCACTGTGCATGTCTGCTTGAGGATGTTGGCCATACACCTGGAACTGACAACTTCTTTATTCTTTGCTTGTGTTCCTTTTAAATCTTCATGTGTTTGCTTCTATGGTGATAACCATATAATGTTGGTGAATTTTAGGAGAATAAGTACCATAATCCTAGTACCCAGTTATGTATACTGGCATTTTGGTATACTTCCATTTTGGTAGTTGTTTTTGTCTATTAGGTTTTGTTTGTTTGTTTTTTTCAAGGTAGTGTTTCTCTGTAGCTTTGGAGCCTGTCCTGGAACTCACACTGTAAACCAGGCTGGCCTCAAACTCACAGAGATGCGCCTGTCCCTGCCTCCTGAGTGCTGGGATTAAAGGTAGACACTACCTCCCAGTTTGTTTTTGTTTTGTGAGACAGGGTCTCCATATATAGGATGTATGGCTCAGACTGTGTTGTAATAGGAGCTGCGGGCTGTGTTCCGCCACCCAGTTCCCGCCACCGGCTAGCTTTACCCGAAATAACAACATACAAACTGTATTCTTTTAAACACTGCTTGGCCCATTATATCTAGCCTCTTCTTGGCTAACTCTCGCACCTGGACTAGCCCATTTCTAATAATGTGTGTAGCACTCCAAGGTGCGCTTACCGGGAAGATTCTAGCCTACATCCATCCTGGGTCGGAGCCATCATGTCTGCCCGGGAGGGGGGAGCATGGCCTCTGAGCTCACTTCCTCTTCCTCCCAGCATTCTGTTCTGTTTACTCTGCCTACTTAATTTTCTACCTATCAGGGCCAAGCAGTTTTCTTTAATTGACCAATGAAAGCAACAGATAGAAATATGACCTTCCCACATCAAGACTGGCCTTGAATTTTTGACGACCCTACTGCTTAGCCTTCTAGTTACTGGAATTACACGTTTGCTCTGACATGCCCAGCCTGACATTTTTACTTAGGCATCTGGTTTTTGGTGTAGTTGTTATAAGTATAGTTTTGTCTACCTGGTATGACTAATCACCCCGTGCTCACACAACTGAACTCTTTAGTGGCTTTCCATAGAATTTTGCTTAGTTCTTTTCAGCTGTTTGTGGCAGTATTGGGTGTGTTGGGATCTGTTCAGGACAAGGCAGACCCTCCCTTGAATACTTTGGTCTTTCAAGGGTACCTGCAGCTAGTCTTCTTTGTCCCACTAGCCAGCTCCCAAATCATGACCTGGAGACTTATTATTAATTATGAAAGCTTAGCTGATAGTTTAGGCTTGTTTCCTAACTAACTCTTATAACTTAAATTAACCATGTCTTTCAAACTATTTTTTTTAACATGGCTCAGTTACCTTTATTTTGTCCTTTATTTTGCCCATGCTGCTTGCTCTGTGTTCTGGCATCTCCTGTCTTCTTCCCAGCATCCTTTCTGTCCTGAAAATCTTGCCTAGCTATTGGCTGTTCAGCTTTTTATTACACCAACCCAAGTGACACATCTTCACAGTGTACAAAAAGATTATTCCACGACAGGTACCTGCATCAGGGATGCTCACAGTATGCCCCTCACCTCGCTCTGGATGCAGAGTGAGTATCGTGTATTTAGCCATTCCCTTTGGTACCTAAAGCCTACAAGATGACAGTGCCTATGAGATGATGGCAGCGTTTCAGATAAGGCTTTCATGGCGTTGGAAAGCCAGTTTCCCGGATGTTCTTGAAAGTGGCACCAACACTCTCTGTTGTATATAGGCTTGGACTTGCCCCAGGGTTGCTGTGTTTCTTGCAGCCCGAGTTTCTACCTCAGCCCTGTCTTACCTAAGGACAGGGCCAGGAGATGCCCTTGGCTGTCAGCTCAGGTCAGTGAAAGGGGATTCATCTCCTTCCATTTCCATGTCCCTGTCACTTCCTCTGGGAGAGCAGGAAACCAGTAGTGCCCCCTTCTGTGCTCTTCTCATTTCTGGAGGGTTTGTGTTCACTTAGAGCTGGGAGCTGATTACTCAGCTCTGAAATACAACCAGTGGTGCTTCTTGTAACAGATTTATTAATTCCCTAAAATAAAGACAAGGCATTTGTGAAGACTTGATTTCTGTTAAAGCATGTTTGACTTGATGCCCTGTCAAGTTCTGGGATGAACAGGCCTGCAGGCTTCTTGGACACAGCTTCATTTCTGTGGCTGGATGGCTACTGCATGCCCATCATTTGGTCAGATCCCCGCACAGCTGACTGAAAGAGTCCTGTGTGGGCTGCCACCGTGCGCCTGTTGAGTGAGATGTTCATTTGACTTCTCATTGGATAGTCTCAAGACCTCTGTCATGGAGCCGTCTTTGTGCTGCTGGTAGTGGCATTAATGTCTGTGTACAGAGCTTCTTTCACACTTTTATGTTTGTTTTTGGAGGTTTGTTTTGTTTTGAGAAAGGGTTTCTCTGTGTTACAGCCCTGGCTGTCCTGGAACTTGTTCTGTAGACCAGGCTGGCTCCACCTGCTTCTGCCTCCCAAATGCTGGGATTAAAGGCACCACCACTACCTGGCTTAGTTTCTTTCACTCTTCCTGAAGTGTGCTGGTGAGCTGGTGAGGTCCAGTAGGCTTTGCTCTTGGAACTTGGGAGGAGTTAGAATAGGATTTGGTTTTAAAGTGCCAACACCAAGTGGAGGTTAGGGGAGTGCTCTGTAGGCTCCATTTCTCTCTGTAAATTCATGAAGGTGTGATTAATAGGTACTGTGACTTATGACTGAATTGGCCTAGATAGTAATCCTTACTGCAGGGCAGTATATATGACTAATACTGGGATCAACCATATGCCATTTTCCTTACTAAGTTCTCTAGCTGATACTCGTGTAGGGACCAGTTCCTCATCCTGATCACTCTGAGATTTTGAGTGTCCTAGATGAATCTGTTAGTTCTTCTACTCTACAACAACCTTTGTGGAGTTGTGACTGAAACACCATTAAACCTGTCAAACCACTTGAGATTGGCAGTTTTTGTTTTGTTTTGTAGTGTTGAGAATAGAACCTAAACCCTTGGGCTTGCTAGGTTCATTTTGGGATGAATACTCCCAAGATTAGCACTTCTTTTCTTTTCCTCTTCTTCTTTTCTTTTCCTTTTCCTTTTTTTTTTTCTTCAGAGGTGGGGTTTTCTGTGTAGCACTGGCTGTCCTGGAACTCCTTCTATAGACCAGGCTGGCCTCAAATTTAAGAGATCCTCCTGCCTCTGCCTCAAGTGCTGGGATTAAAGGTGTGGGCCACCACCTCAGTTGTTTGTTGTTTTAACAGAATCTCCTGTAGCTGAGGCTGGCCTTTAACTCTTGATCTTGCTACCCCATCTCCCAAGATTTGGGGTTAAAGAGTGGGGATGGAACTGAGGACCTTACACTAAGCCATCTTCTACTGCTAAACTACCTGCCTTCCCTCTGCTTTCTTCAGACATTTCCATCCGGTGTGGTGATATACTCCTTTAGTCCCAGCAGAGGCAGGCAGATCTCTATGAATTCAAGGGCAGCCTGGTCTACATAATGACTTCCAGGCCAACCAGGGATACATAGTTAGACCCTGTCTCCCTCAGCTACCCACAAAAATATTTCTCTTTTTTTTTTTTTGGAAAAAGTGGTATCATTTCTGTTAGGTCCTGACCTTGGCCATTCAGGCAGTTCCCAGGTGTGTTCCACCCTCATTATCCTTTTCTACTGTATTGCCAGGTGCTTTCTGCTGCCAGTCTGTCTGATAGTTTCTAAAATCTGGCCTCTTCACATCATGATGTTTGCTTCCTGCTCAGCTCACTAACAGCACAGGTCCAGATTATGGCTGGACCCACCTCTCCTGTCCTGGTGCCCGTCTGCCTCGGGCCAGCTTCAGTCAGGGACACAGCATGGCAGCCCTGCTAGCTTAGTGCTCATTACGCTGGACGCTCTTAGCCATGAGGTGGCCGCACTTCCTGCTGTTTTAAAGGGTTTCCATTAGGGACATGTATTAGATTTGTCAAGTACCTTTTTGTTTTGTGTTGTTTTGCGACAGGGTTTTTCTGTGTAGCCTTGGCTGTCCTGGAACTCACTCTGTAGACCAGAATAACCTCAGACTCAGAGATCTGCTTGTACTGGGATTAAGTCATGTGCCACCATTACCACCTGCTTGTCAAGCAGCCTGTGTTTGTTTGTTTTTGGACACAGGGTTTCTCTGTAACTTTGTAGCCTGTCCTAGAACTAGCTCTGTAGACCAGGCTGGCCTTGAACTCATAGAGACCCACCTGCCTCTGCCTCTGCCTCTCAAATGCTGGGATTAAAGGCGTGTACCACCACTGCCCGACTGTCAAGCAGCTTTTTAGCATTTAAGATTCATATTAAAATGTGAAGAACTGTGCTTTATTAGTTAAAATTTTTTTTCAGTGCTGGGAATCAAATCCAGAGCCTTGCACTGCTAGGCAGGTGCTCTTCTACATCCCCAAGCCTTGTTTGGTATGAAACAGTCTTTCTGTGTAATCCAGGGTAGTTCCAAAATCAACTCTGCCTCCCAGTACTGGGATTATAGATATGTGCCACCATGCCAAGTTTTAGCATTTTTCTTGTACGTTAACCGTTTTGAACATTTGCTTTAAAAGCTAACATTAGTAACTATGATGTTCTATTGACCATCTTATACATTTTAAATCTTATGGATGAGCAACAAAAACTTTCATTTTGCTGAGCAGTATAAGAATCTGTGTGCATGTAAATGTAAGTGTAAGCACATGTATGTGGTGCTAGTATGTGCATCTGGAAGCCACAGGTTAACATGGAGTATCTTTCTTAGTCATTCTCCACCTTATTTTTTGAAACAGGATTTCTCAGTGAATCTAGAATTACTGATTTTGGTGGGCTGGCTGGCAATAGTGACCTGCCTGTCTACCTCCGATGTACTGGTATTATAGGTGCACACCACTGTACACAGCTTTTGGACTGGGGATCCAAATTCAGGTTTTCATGCTTCACCACAAGTACTTTACCAGCTGAGTCACCTCTCTAGCCCATGTAAGAAATCTTGACTCCT